CAAGTTCATCATTCCTGAATGCTGCTGGGCTCAGAAGCCCAGCATCACTCACATACCTGGCATGCAGATAGCAGTGAAGTCCAAGTGACCTGGAGCCTGTGCTCCAATGAGCTCCCCGCTGATGGCAAGCAGGCAGGGAGCACCCACACCTTCAGCCCACTCCCATTCACCCCTCGTGCAGCTGGGAGGAGGCAGCTGGGGCTGTAGGGGCAGCCTGGGACTCACCTGGAGCCGCTTCATGGCCTCCGAGTCATGGTCAGCCTTCACCTTGCAGGCCACCAGGAGCTGTGCTGTGGAGGCAGCCACCTGCTTGGCAGACGAGATGAGCTTCTCCTCGCTGGCATGGCCCTGCACCGCTGCGTTGGCAGCTTCGCAGAGGTTGTTGGTGGCAGCAGCCACCATGCGTGCCTGTGGTGAAAGAGGCTGTCAGGAGGGGTACAGCAGACTCCTCTGGGGAAGGTATGCCCTGACTGGCCCCAAGGAGGTTGTGGGGCATGGGATGGTGACAACCAGCTTCCATGCCATGTCTCAGCTGGTGGGAGAGAGGGAGCAAGAGGCATGGCTGCTTCTTCCACCAAGGAGAAGCACAAGGGCAGAGCATCCTCATCTTTGCAGCAGAAGACAAGAGGAGGGTCCCCCCATCCCCTGAGCATGACCCTAATACTCACAGCTGAAATGAGTCCCTGGGACCACTGTCCATCATCCACTGCATTGGCGGGGATGGCGCCCACCTGCAAGGAAGGAGCAGAAGAGGGAGGCTCACTGCCACGCACACCCCTTGCCACAGGGCATGAGGGCCACAAGCAGCCCCAGGAGAAGGGAGAACCCACCACAGCCCTACATTTTCTTAGTTCTTTCCCTCTTCCAGCCTTACCTTTCCTTGGGCCACTAATTCTCGCTGGGCTGCTGAGGCTGCCTTCACCAGGGCACTCGTGGCTGCAGCAATGGATTTGGCAGCTTCCAGGATCTGCTCCTCGAAGTTCAGGCTCTCATCTGCTTGCTGCAGGTAAAAGCAGGGTGTGAGTCACAGCAGGGGTGCAAGCACAGATGGAGCAGAGCAGGATGATGTCTGCAGGGGGCTGAGGGGGTACATGTAAAGCTGGATTACGGGCTGTGGGGTGCAGGAGGGCGTGGGTTGCCCGACCAAGGTCCAGCTGGTGATGTGGGAGGCAGCAGGAGTGTGGGAAGAGGGACTGGCTGTTGGATGGGGCTTCATAGCTGGCTGAAGCACAGGCAGGAGAGCCCCAGTCCACCCCAAGCTGAGCACAGGCATCAGCCAAGGCTCAGCACCATTACCTTGGGCTTGGCTCTTGGTTTCAGCTGCCTCAATGGCAGCCGCTGCCCCCAGCAGCTCATTTTCAGCGATGACAGTGGGGTCTTCTGGGTCAACCCACTCCGTCCCTAGAAAAACCGGGAAGTGAGTCAGGTTAAACGTGCATCCAGCTTCATTTCTGACTCGCCTTAACTCCTCCATCAGCTGCTGAGCCCTCTACCCTAATCCTAGCCCTCTGTCGTGCCCCTCTGAGCAGGACCTTTCCTTACCTTTCATGGCCTCAGCTGCCTGGATGAGCTCGGTGACAGAACTGGCCACACGCTTGGAGTAGCTTGCCAGCTGCTGCTTCAGCTCGTGAGTCGGCTTCTGCAGGATCTGTGGGGAAGGAGCAGATGTAAGCACCTGGAAAAGGGGGACCTCATAGGTCTGTTCGGGGTGCACTCCCCAGGGAAGGAGGGTGGTATCCCCCAGCTCCACCCCAGGATCCCCCAGCTCCTCCCCAGTATCCCCCTGTACACATCAACCATTGTCTGTGATGCTTTCTCGAGTGACCCTGGCTGGTATCCTGCTGCCCGAGGGTGGGATGAGCTTCCCCTTAGCCCTTCTGCATCTACAGTTTCTGGGACATCTCACAGACAGAAGACCCTCAGCGTAAGCCATCTTGCACTCAGCAGTTACCCTCTCCAAGATTCCTTTCCCCCAAAGCATTTCAAGCTCCAGAAGCATTTCCCCCTCGCTGTCCCCATTTTGATTTGTCTACAAACACAAGCTGGGCAAGGGGGGAAGACCCTGGAGCCATGTCCCAGCCTAGGAGGGCTGGCCCCGTCAGGACAAGGTGGCGGATAGAGCCACGAGGGTCCTTCACTGATGTGGGTGAGAGGGACACACATGCACACACCACAGCACACGTGTGCACACACACAGCGTCCTTACACACAAGCAGAGCTCACCGCTGGCCTGACTTGCACTGCACAGGCAGCAGCTGCCCATCAGCTAGAGCGGGTATGAGTACACACGCAGACACACAGACCCTGGGGTCCCGGCAGACACACGCAAGTGCCACCCCAGCACTGGGCTGGGCACGCAGATACGCCGTGAGCAAGGCTCATGCTGAGGTTAGACACCAGCAGGCACCCCAATGTCGCCTTACTCACCGGCTGACAGGGAGGGAGGGAGAAGAGAGAGAAGAAAGCAGTGAACGCCCCGTCCAGGACACGCGGGCTCTGGGGACAGGGGCAACGGGGAGGGCAGGAGAGGATGGGTGCTCTCCAGTGAGGGGTGAAGGGCAGACAAGAGGAGAGGTGGGAATGAAGGATCAGAAGTCCCAGGCAGGGAGCTGTGCTGCCATCATTAGCTCATACTCCCACCAAGCCCTTCTAACCAGCTTAGTGAAACCTTGCCATAGAGCTGACTCGCCCTCAGTGTTTGTCCTGACCCCAGTTCAAAAGCTCTTGCAGCTTCGCAGGCTGGTTCTGCACATCCCTCCAGCACCCTTGGGCCCACATCTGTCATCTTGCCAAGAATGTAAATTGCTGGAAGGACCTCACTGGATCCTTTCTCCCACTTTCTGGTCTTAATTTGCTTCTTGTAAAATACACTTATCTTGCAGGACAGCTAATTAAAGCAGCCACCTGAAGTCCTTGGGAAGACTCAGATAAAGAAAGACCATATCAAAAGAGTGCAGCTGGTGCTTACAGTTATCACCTCTACTATTGCAGGCACTGCTCATCTCCCACTCCCTCGTGACCTTAACAAGCTCTTTTCACACTGCCTGAAGTCTCTTATTCCCATGACCTTTACTGGAAACTGCTTCAGGATTTTGCCCACATGTTGAATTTCCGGCCTCCATCAGTTTATTGCCAGTTAGTTTCCACTTGTTAGCCAAATACCTTTCCTTGGAGCCTGTTCATCTCTCTGATATCTGCTTCCACAGCATGGGCTTGGCCACGTGCTATGCCAGCACAGGCAGTGAAGGGGGCTATGCAAAGGCCTCAGTGGGAAGAGGTGCAGAGCCCAGAGGACCTCGGGGATTTGAGAAGCACCCTAGCACCCATGGGCAGCCTCTGCCTACCCTGGAAACCCAGGCAGGGACACTCACCACCAGGACGTGCTCCAGCAGCTCCAGGTAGCCATCGGCACACTCCTTGCCAAAGCGCAGCGCCCGCTGCCGCACGTCCCCGCTCACCTCCGGGTGGTAGGCAGCTTCCTGAAACCCAGAGACAAGGAACCCCCGATTCGCATCCAGCACCATCCCTGCTGGAACCCGCAGCCACCCACAAACCCGTGCTAGACCCACGTCCCCCCCCGCCCGCCCCACCTTGCCGGC